CTAACACTTAAACTTCAACGTAATTGTCTTGGGAAAAGTTACTGCCGTACATTAGAAGAAATATTTCAAACGTACATTCGTACATCGATTCCATAGATCATAAAACACGTACGATAGGTACGGTAGTATATAGGTGTAATTACATATGATTATTATTTATTATTTTATGTATGATATATCATTAAAAATAAGAAATTGCCCGTGCATTCACCGTTGAGTAAGTCCGAAATTTTTTATTCTGGTGAAAGAATTTAAAAACAGTTAACGAGTGGATAAAGTATCTTAACAACGGAATTTTATGCTCGATTAGCTCAACGTTGGGGGGATCTACGGATGGTCGGCAATCGTTGCCAATTATTAAAACCGTAGACGGGTAAAGTCAAGAAAGTACATGGGGGTCGCTGTAAAAGACCAGAAATTTACTCTAGATAAAATTAAATAGGGTTAGTTTAGAATTTTTGACGGTTGAGAAGCAATTTTAAGACAATATTATAATTTTAAGGTTCATTTTTTATTTTTTACTAATTAATTAGCTAATTATTCTGTTACTAATAAATTAATGGACTGAATTTTGGACTAGTAAATTTTTTTTTATTGTAAATTAGCGAACTTTATTTTTGTTGGTGAGTTGATGAAATTTTATTTTCATGAAAAATTTGATAGAAATTATTTTTATTGAGATAAAAAAATGATTTTCCTTAAAAGGATTTCTGGGATCAAAAATTTATTGAAATATAACCATTGTTTAATTTATTACACAAAAAATTTCCATTGCGTAAAAAGAAATATTATCAACAAATTTTGTTTAAAATACATCGAGCGTTTACCCAAAAATTAAACAAAACTGTTTATTCGTCATGCATTTTACACGATTTGTGTACAAAATGACGCAAAATATTCCACTGTGTAATTAAAAAAAAATTTTTTTTATCAACTTGATCAATTTTTGAGGCAAGAAAATATAATTACAGTAGCGCTTAAAAATATTTTGACAAATATATTTAATGGTTTAATTGAAAATAAATATGAAACACAATAATCATTTATTTATTTTTTAACAGCTTTTGAATAATCTACAGAATAGCGTCAAAGTGGTCCTTGTTTGTAACAAAAAAAAGTTTAATTTTTAATATATTAAGAAAATAGTTGCTCAAAAGTATTTTGACATTGTTGAAAAAAACTAACGCATAATGTTGTCAAAATTTTTAAAGCAGTATTTTTTTAATCAATATAAATCTTAAGCTTATACTAGAATACTTGACTAATAACAAATCAGTAGAGGTCATAAAATCGTTAGTCGGTTTTTCTTGATCTCAAATTTTTATACAAAACACGTAAAAAAAAAAAAGAAGTAACTGTCTTGCAGTTGAAGAGTTTATTATCACTCTATCTAGTTTGTAAGTCAGAGCTTTTTTTATGGGTACATTAAAAGAACCAATAGATGTTATAAAGATCCATTAGTCCCATGCTGGGGGCACGAAGGCCATATGGACATAAAACATAAAATATAACAAGCAATACTAGTAAAAGAAGTTTATTAGTCTCAGGAGCAGTCAGGTGAGACCTTATTAGTAATATCGAAACTCTTCAGGGTGCAACACCCCAACTCCGCTTATAGGCTTGAAATAATTCAAAAAAATTATGTACTTCATTTTTAAATTCATAAAACTTATGATCAAGCATTGAAGATACGTGCAGAAATTCAATTATTTCACTTTAAATTGTTGTGAAGAAATGTCCTGCATAAATTTTCTTTCCTGGTGGCTTTTAGCAGCGAAATTGATTGATTGAGGAAGCAGTAGCAGGGAATTAAAAAATTCTGTGGGATTTAGATAAATTTCATTGTTTTAGAGAAGAATAACAATTAGTTTTGTGTATAACGGAAATTTGAAACGACGGTTTACCGCCCGCGACAATACCGTGACGCATTGTGTATTGTGAACATGCACCTGCGTTTTATGATTCTTAAAACGGAAGGACTCCCACGTGTGTACACCGTTCACCTGTGTTTTATTTTATTTCAATTCATTTTAGATGTACCAAAAAATTTATCCAATTGTTTTAGTTTAGCAAATTATTCCACAGTTTTTTTTTCTTCAACTTTATTATTATTATTCTGAAGAAGAACGTCATAAAATAAAATAACTTAGTAATTTATTTATAAGTTTTTATTTTAAACATTAATAATTTAATGAACTAATAATATCAGTTTTTTATAAAAATATTTATTTAAATTAATATTGATTTTAGTAAACAAATAAATATAATTTAAAGGATTGACGTATTTATTTCAATTAATAAATTTGAGCTCCGACTGAAAAAGCAAAATTTATTTTATTTATCGCTGATAAAGTTTGATTTATATCAATTTTCATTGATTAATGCAACTATACTCATTATACAATTACACTTTTGATTTAAAATTACACTTCAATAAAATAACTTACAAGTTTTGAGAAATTAAAAACTTTTATATCTTTTATTGCTAACATTGAATAGTTGATTTATGTAAAGTAGATAAATTTAATATCCTTTTGAGTAGTGAGCGATATTTTAAAGTGTAAATTGCTTTTTTTTCTTTCAATGTTACGTTGTTTTCGGTGAGAAAACTTTTTTACCGGTTTGTTTTATAACCAGCGTGTTTTAAACCAACAGCAGGTCATGTCACTTTAGATCTACCGCGAGGTATTTGAATTTTAAACATAATTCACTGTTGAAGTAAAACAATATAAAAAATATTAATATAAAAAAATAAGTTGGATAATTTCTTAAACCAGCAATAATGTTAATAAAAATATAAATTTATTAAAAAATATTTAATTCAAAAAACTTTAATTATCTCTTCAATGATTTTATTCGGCAAAAATTCCGAGAAAAAAAAATTTTTAGAAAATTATATTATAGATAATTTACATAAATTCCAATAATGATTAAGTTTTCCAAAGTTTATATGGTATAAAATCTTTTTTATAAAAATAGAGATTAACACACAAAACAAACACATTTATGTCAATTTGAAGGAATTCAGTTCTGGAAAATGAAATTAATAAACCCTTTTTATATTTTTGAATAATATATATATATTTTTGAAATGTTTGACAACAATATATCAGCATCAAAAATACTTATATAATAACATATTGCATTTATTTTGATACGGTGACATGTAAGTTACATTTAAATCTAATATTACTGTGATCTTTTGGAATATTAAGATTTTTGAGGTACAATTTTAAACTCTAAACTCGTATAAGTTCTCAAAGATCCATCTAAACATATACTTATACTCATATTCAATACAATTATAATAATCAATAATAATAACTATAATTATATCAAATAACTCTGCGATATGGTTGTGATTGAAATTTTTTTGCTTAAAATCTACAGCAGGTTCAATTAATAATTATTACTAAAAACATGATGCTGGTTTTTGGCATACAAAAGAACACATCTAAGTTATTACCCTCCTAAATAATTATTCTATTAATTTAATCAGAATAAATTTACAAGTCCAATAAAACATTCAAAAATCAATTTTCTATCATCAGATTTAATTAGAAAAATAAATTTACATGCAAAAAATCATTTCTAAATATACAAACTAATAACTTATTTTTTTATAATTATTTTTAGTCTATTTTTGTGTGTGTGTGTGTGTGTGTGTGTGTGTGTGTGTGTGTGTGTGTGTGTGTGTGTGTGTGTTTTAATATGTTTTAATGTTAAAAGATAAAAATAAGCAACTGCGTAAATATTAGCAACTTAATTAATACGAATGAGTATTTAATTCATTAAAAAATTATCATTATCATTTACATATATAGTATTACTTATTTCGAAGACGTATTCGATATATTCATATATTTATTTATAATTTAAAACATCAAATCGTTTTTTGATGAGATATAATCTGAATTGCTTATTTCAACAACAATTATATTCTTGAACAAACATAACTTCATATATCTTCAACAATTTAAAAACGATTTAACATCGTGTCTGATTTTAATTCTACTGCATCAAAATTACAGATGTAATTTAATATTTATATTGATCTACACACACTCATTATTTACAATATGACAGAAAATAGTTACAATGATAATAAAAATAATAATATTAAAATTTATCTACTGATAATTACAAAGTTGATTATACTGTTGACATTATTGTTTGTACACTAATATTTTAAATTAACAAAGTCTTTTTTAAGACACAGTTTCAATAGCAGTTCAATAAAGCTCTATCCAAATTAAATAATTAACATTAAATAGTCAAATATGATAATAATAATAATATTAATATTCGTTGTCTTTAACAGGCAATAAATCTCAAATATCCTGAATCGGAATACTAAAATTAATACCGGATAAATTTACCAAATAAGTCACAGCTGGACTATTTGACAAATTCTCGCAATATTTATTAATTAGCCGAGGAAAAATTAAAAATGTCGATAAATAAAACCATTGAAGGTAAAAAAAATATGAAAAAAAAAAATAGTGAATTTGAATTATGACTAGAGTTAAAAAATTTTTGAATGCGCGTGGTAAATTTGCGCATCCAAATAATTTTTCACTTTATTGATCTATCCTGAGTCTGCCTGTCATGACTTAAACCGTAAATGTTGTTAATTTTAAATGATTTAAAAACGGTGAAATACAAAAATGATAAAACTAAATCTAAAAAAAAATAAAACTATTTTTTTAAAAACTAAGTGATGCCTAAGTCCTGTGTTTTCAGTTCGACATTTCCATTACACGTATAAAAAAACAATATTACTCATACACATACATTTATAGTATTATATATATAGCATAGTATATATATCATACATATAAAATCGGTAACAGTTATCGACTGCTTTAAATTGATTTGATCATTCAGAACCAAAATAACATTCATCATCATTCAGATCAGATTCATGCTCCATCCACACAATTTTGTCCTAAGAGCTAAAATATATATTCTCTCGTAAAATAGATTTTTAATTAATCGTCTCACTGATAGGAGATTTGCCGGAACATACTGCTGATTTCCTCGATAGTCTTGTTCTTTGTTTCTGGAACCTTCTTCCAGATGAAGAGAGCGAACAGCGCTTGGATGATAGCGAAAAGAACAAATACATTCGTGTCAAGAAGTTCTTTCAACGGTAGGAACGAGTAACTGACGATGAAGTTAGCTCCCCAGTTAACGGCGATCGCAATGGATGTTGCGATTGGTCTTGCCGATTGGTTGAACAGTTCTGATACCAAGAACCATGGGATACTTCCAGGACCAGTTGCGAAGACTACCACGAACATAATTACCAATGCGATGGAGAAATAAGCTGCTGCTGATGAAGAGTCCTGTCAAGTTAAAAATTTTATTAGTCGTTTCAAAAATTATTTCTCGATTGAAAATTTTATTTTAAAATTGAATCAATTAAATTTTTACTAATTTAATTAGTCGATTTTTTTTTTTTATTTTAAAATTAGTGATTTTACAAATTATCACTTAGTTATAATTTTTCACTGACTTAATTAGGGTCACTAATTATATTAGACATAACTAATCAAGCAGTAATTTGTTTTAAATAGTCAATAATTTAACTAGTGATTTTATATTTCACTAAATATTAGCAGTAGATTTAATTTAATTGTTAAAAAATATATAACTAATTTTATTTGTGAAAATTGTTGTCAATATCGCTAAAAAATTATTTAAATATGATGGTGTGTAATTAATGATTTTAAAAAAGAAAACTAATAATAAAAATAATGAATAGTAATCAATTGATAATAATTCTATTTCAGATATTAAAGTTGTAATTTTAGGAATTAATTTATGATAAATGTCACAATTCAATAATTAAATAAAAAAAAATTCTATTTTAATTATTGAATGAAACTGTAAAAATTGATAAAACTTTCCTGTAATTTAGTAAAAATTAAATTGATTCAATTATCAAAAATTAAAAAAAAAAATAAATTAACTTACCGCATACGCTAAGCAGAGTGCAAGCAAAGCAGTGTCAATAACCATTGCACAGAATCCAAAGAGCAGAAGAGTTTTCCGTCCGCATTTCTCAACCAAAATCAACGAAACAAAGGTCATAACAACATTCATAGCTCCAACACCAAGAGTAGCTGATTGAGAAGCTGTTGTGTTCAATCCAGCCATACGGAAGATAGCGTCTGAGAAGAACATGACAGCGTTGATTCCAGAAAACTGTTGAGCCAACATCACCATCAAAGAAATAATCAGCGGGATTCTCAGAGCCGGGTTAACGAAAATTTCCTTCATGGTAACACGTTGGGTCAGTTTGATAGACTCAGCTTCATTCCTCATTTCTTCCATCTCGTCATAAACGTCATTGGTCCCTCTTAACCAGACAAGACCTCTCTGGGCGTCAACATCCTTGCCTCGGTTCAGGAGCAGGAATTTCGGACTCTCTGGGCACAGTGGCAGAGTTACGCACTGGAAGATTGCTGGGATTATGGTCAGACTGAGAAGAAGCGGCCATTGCTCGGCGGTACCCAACACTTTGTCCATACTGAGAACTTGGGAGATCAAAATTGAAATTGTGACGATAAGTTGGTAGACGGTACCAACGGCTCCTCGCAAGTGCATCGGAGATATTTCTCCAAGGTACATGGGAGTTATTCCCGCGTTCAAACCGGCGTTTATTCCAATGAACAGACGTCCTACGATTATCATCTCATAGCTGCCGGCCATTTTACAAAACCCTTCGAATATCACTGTCAGGACGACGAATATGTTGTTCAGCAGCAAACCACCCTTGCGTCCAAATCTGTCGGCTATTATTCCTACCAGGGATCCACCGATTATACCTCCGATACAGAAGATGGCTACTGCCCAGGCCCACAAGTCTGTCATGTCTTTTGCGGTGTGAGGTATTCCCGTTCGGTTGGTTTTGACCTCTGCGATCCAGGTTTTGATGATCTGGAAGAAATGTGTGTTATTAGTCATGTAATTTTAATTTTTAAAATCAAAGATTTGATTAGTTGAATTTTAAAAAAATCTTTAAAAGTTGTAAATAAAATTAAAAAAAAATTGTTTTTTCTTAATTTGATCAATAAAATTTTTCTTTTAGTATTTCAATGATTAATGGTCTATTTTATGAAACTAAAAATGACAGACATCAGACTTTTTTTTAACTAATGAATTATAAAAAAAAAATTCTACAAGTAGAAATTTAAAAAAAAAACTATGAATGTAATTAGAAAAAAAATTTTTTTTTTATACTAATTTATTTTTTTTAAATAAAATAAAATTTTCAGGTGTCTTTTGTTATTATTGCCGCTAAATTTTGATAATTATATTAAATCAATCTGCATATAAAATTTAATCCAAGTCCTTTAATTTAAAATTTGTCGACTAAATTTACCTCCTGAGGTGAGTTGACAACTCCGGTATTGTAACCATGTTGAAAGGCAGATCCCAGTGCGATCGCAGTGATTGCGAACGCCAAATGGAAATTAATACCCTGCAAAAAAAAACAAGAAATATAAAAATCTTGCAACAATATCCTTTACAATTGATAAACAGTAAATATAATTATGAAAACAATATGCGTTATATAATTATTAGTGGTTTGTTTGTTTGCGAGGTCAAAAGGATCGCTGAAAATGGATCCTCGTTATTCAATTAGAATCCGTGCTCCAGAGACCCATATTACATGTAAGTCATACGTGATACGACAAATATTAACCAATTGAAACCTATTGACGTTAATCTACGGTAGAGTGAATATCTACATACACAGCATATATTATGCAGATATTAATATTGCACTTGACCACATTATCGATGACCGCTTGAATTAATTCATTCGAAGTAATTAAACTTGGATCCCGATTGGGACGAATATTTATTATTTAATATTTTATTGATAATTAGCCAATAGTTATTCCGATCCATGTTGAAATCATCAAACCATCGACAGCTCGAACACTTTTCAAGGGTCGTGTGATTAATCATTTATGTGTGATGAAATGTCACTCTGATGAGCTCATAATTGATCGCGCTCCAATTAAAGTAGACAATATATAGATCAATTATTAATTATTTACTTCGTATTTAAAATTGGAAATCATGCATTCAATTTTTTTTATGTTTTTCTATTTTTATTAATCAATAGTTTTTTAATTTTTTTCCTATTTCATAACACACACACACACACACACACACAGAAAAAAATTTACTTAAATTAATTCAAATTTTTTCGTCTTGGCTCAAAACATTGAAACTCTTCAAAATTATTTTCTTATTCAAAGAATTTTTTTCTTGATTCAAATTAATTTTTTTTTCAGTGCAATTATTGAAATTTTTCGAATTGTTTCAAATTTATTTTATGAGAAAAAAATTAGCGTTTAAATTGATAAAAAATTTGATTTGACTTTTAAGATAAATTACTAAAAAGTTTTTTAAGAAAAAAAAATCATTTTTACTTAGAGTAGAAAAAAAATTTTCCACAAAAAAAAACATCTAAAAATTTTGCAACTGTTTTTTAAACTGTTAATAAATTTGACAGCTGTATAAAAAAAATGGGTGTATTATTTATGTCACTTGTATCAAAAATTTGACAACCCTGATGACACTTATGATTTATAATATCATTTACAATATCAAATTAACAGCAATGAATTACATAAAATCAACGCGGTTGAATTTAAAAATTGATATCTTAATTATCATTATGCTTATTCGTGTAAGTGATTAATATTAATATATCTAGTACGATTTTATCCAACCTTGAAAATATAATATGTAGTTTTTGTGGAAGATTACTAAATATTAAAATTAATCTTCTTTCTCAAGTTCGTCGCTGACTTAACGTAGCAAAGTTTCTTGAGATAACAAAATGAAAAATATATTTTTGATTTTAAAATGTCAATGCCACTCGCAATCAACAATTAACAATTGTTTGTACTTGTATTGATAATTTTTGAAACTCACCGGTCGTCTTAAGTAAGGCATCGAAAGTGTTCTATAAATAAATCCAAAAATTCAAGAGTAATTCTATTTCACAGAGCGTTAACAGATTCCCGCAAAAAATCGAATAAAAAATACTAGAATGACACTTTTTAGTTTCCGCTCTTAATATAGCATGTGTCAAAGACTTGACTGTCGGGTCGACACCCTGCAACGCATTTATATCAAGTACACACACACCAAACATGGAATTCTCATACTATCAAATCTTAACATATTTAAATATTTGTATGTGTTAATCAGCGTATGTAGTCTTCTGTATGATAATCGAGTAAAAACCCAATATAATACACACTCAACAACATGCTACATACAATAATAATTATAATAAAAATAATAATAACAATTTATATCCATATAATGTATTCAATTACTAATGTACTTATATATTGTCTTTTTCAAAGTAAGATGATACATTAAACAACTGTCGCAAAGACGTAACAATTACTCACTCTAAAAACATGTTTCAATCCTCTTTTTCCAGAATTTTCTGCCATAAAAACGTTCGATAATTTATCACTTAAAAAATAATTTTATCGGAATCGCCTCACTATATTATTGAGCTGTTATTAATTCCACTAAATAAATTTCACAACCGAAAAATTTTATCTATACATAACGATAAATTAATTTAATAAAATAGTAATATCAAAATAAAAAATAAAGGATTAGTGATAGTGACGTCGTGGATTTCTTCGGCTAAAAATCTCTTCGGATCATTTGAAATTTATAACCGAGCACGTGTAAAGCGAAAAAAAAAGGACGGTGTCAGCGAAAAAAAAAAAAATAATGGACTTTATCTGCGTAAAGCAATAATGTTAAACCGTCTCTTGGATATACAATGAGTCTTTGAGTTTCGTTGGTGATAAGATTACACGGTATTATAATTCAAATATTCGACAGACCCACACGTATTACATAATCGCGATCGTTATACATGCATACTCACACTTGTGACATGCAACAAAATGTGTGGTACTATTTATTTAAAAATAAATATGATAATTGATAATGAACTGAAATCTTTCAATTAATAATAAGTGATGATTTAATTGAATAAATAATTGAATAACGGAGTACTACTACGATAATTAGCATTTGAAAGTGCATTTATCTCAAAAATTACGTATTAATAAATGATGCAACGTATGGTTTATATGAGTAATAAAAAATAAACGAGTAAATCAACTTTATAATTTATATATTTATATATTTATGTGTATATATGATATCAAGCTTATTATATTACTTAAGATGACACGTAGTAGAGGCACGTTCTTATTCGTGTTTCGATTGGTTAACGCGTTAACGATCCCCAGGCGAGCCTTCTTACATTTACATTGTTGTATAATATATGTTCTTCGCTTAATATAAGATAAACTTAATACTTTACTTATATATTCATAATCGTATGTTTTATTTCTTACACTCTGCTCACGATTAAGTTACGAAAAATTTTCCACTCGTAAATTCAATGTTTTTTGTTATTCATAATCAGCATTGTTCATAAAAGATTCATTATCGATTCAACAAAAACTATTATTTATAATTAGATAAACTTACAATGTCAGGTTAAATTTTCATATTCATTCAAGGTATTTAAATATTTAATTTAATAGTTAAAAAGTGATACTTTTCTTTAAACAATGCAATTTTTTTAAATAAATTATCTAGCAGCTTTAATTTTTTTTTAATTAAATTAAAATGTTCAAATTTTTATTTTAAAAAATTCCCAGACAATTTTTAATCACAAAAATTTTTTTTTAATTATTTTAATTTCCCCGATAATTATATTAACATATTTTTAATGTGAGTTCATTATTTAAACTCGAATACAATAAAAAAATTAATTAACAAAAATACCGTGGGAATTAAAATTAATTGAGTTAATAAAATAAATCAATTGTTAAAAATTATAACTATAACTAATAAAAGTATTTCTTTAACAAACCGCCGCGTAATTACACAGTTAACTACTGGTAGTTTGCCGTCATTTTTAATAAAACATGTGGTTACAGATAATAACTAACGATTATCCAATTAATACCATACAATGTACCGATTGATTTACAAACCTGAACTTCGCTGAACATATCCGATAATTTATATCAATGTAAATATTTAAAATTTAAAAAAAAAAACGTCTTATGACCGCGTAAAAGAGCCAAGTAGACTTAACACGAAACGATACGACTGTTGAAAATTCCAGCCGCCGGTTTCTCCCACCGATCCAGTGGTTCCCTTCTCTTGGCCAACATGTCCACACATACAAATGTGTATGAGCATTTAACATAACACATATAAGATATAATGCGAGATAACACATGCAAACCGGGTTCATGAACGTGTACCATTGGCAAAGTGAAGGTGCGCCGATCTTAGAAGCTTGCGATTGGTCGAACATGTCGAGCCTCTTTATTAACAACCACGTGCATGTGTTGAACTGCTGTATCACTAATAATAGCAACACGCGTTTTAAAACATTTTTATTATCATTGTGATTATTATTATTATTATTATTATTATTATTCATTATGTTATAAATTCACAGTTTACTTTATTCTTCTTTTGTGCGTGAATTTTAATTGGAGCTATAATTATAATTATGATTGCTATTGTTGCATTGTACGGTTTTTGTATTAATGCAGTACTTCCGACATCGCTAAATAATTTCCCTCAATAGAGGAATAAATAATTATCGGAATTATTTTATTGTTTGACCTCGATATAAAGTTTCCCAAGTATGCTCTATTAACAACGGATTAAACAAAAAATTGATCAAGAAATTAGACATGTAAAAAAGGAAACTGGAAACTGAGAAAGGGCGAATAGAAAGGATTTTCTACCTGCTGTACCGTTAGATATTTAAATAAATTTTTGGAGTAGATTAAATAGCGGGTGTCATTGGCCTGAAGTTGATTTATGGGAACCGTGAAATTTTATTTATGGAGTTTAGAAGACCGATGTTTATTCTCACATGATGATGATAAATAATGTAAGAGTTATAGAACTTTTTGATAATTTATATCTCTGCGGCTATTGGTCGTTACAGCCCGTACAAAAAAAATTTTGGTTCCGGATGAATTTCCGGATGAACTTTAGATTGTGAAACAAATATCATGACAAATTTCATCATGAAAGTCAGCTGGAATTCCAGATGAATTTCATGATGAATTTGAATCACTTTGTATATGAATTTAAACTTAATTTTTTTAATTTGTGAATTAATATTTGGAGACAGTTATATTGGAATTTTTATTTTTATTTACACTGACTTATTATTTACGATTCTTAAACTTCTATCTGGATAAATTTGTTGGAGTAGAAGAACACAAGATTCAGAATAATAATATTACGAAATTCATCATGAAAGTTAGCTGGAATTCCAGCTGACTTTCATGTTGAATTTCGTAATATTATTCTGAATGTTGTGTTCTTCTACTTCAACAAATTTATCCAGATTGAAGTTTAAGAATCGTAAATAATGAGTCGGCGTAAGTTAAACTAAAAATTCTAATATAACTGTCTCCAAATATTTTTTCACTGATTAAAAAAATTAAGTTTTATGTGCGATTTGTTTCAAATTCATCATGAAGTTCATCTGGAATTCCAGCTGACTTTCATGATGAATTACGAAATATTATTTTGCGTATTGTGTTCTTCTACTCCAAAAAATTTATCCGAATAGACGTTATAGAATTGCAAATGTTGAACCAGTGTAAATAAAGCTAAAAATTCCAATATAACTGTCTCCGAATATTATTTCACAAATTAAAATAATTAAGTTTCATATACTATTTGTTTCAAATTCATCATGAAATTCATCTGGAATTCCAGATGAAATTCATATTTGTTTCACAATCTGAAGTTCATCCGGAAATTCATCCGGAACCAAAATTTTTTTTGTACGGGTATCTAGCTAGAGATATCGGGTTAGTTTCATTTTTTTCCTTAGTATAAATTTGTTTTTAATTTTTTCATCAGAAAAATGTTACCCAATAGATGGAAAAGACAAACTCTACACAGTAAAAAATTTTAAGTCATTGCGTCAAAAAATTTTGTGTTAAATATTTAACACTTTTTTGTGTTGATTTAACAGAATAAACGTTAAATTTATTTAATTATTTAATTTATTTACTGTATAGTTAACTAAATCATATTTTAAGTTTTTTTTATGAATTAAATAAAAGTAATTTTTTCTCTGAATATTAATTTATTTTTTTCTTAAGTATAAAATTTCAAATTTTCTGTCATCTAGATTGCTAAGACTCTTTTTTTCATTCGTTATAACGCCATCTAGCAAAAAATAATCTTGCAAAATTTGAATGAGGCTCTAAAATTAACTATTAAAGTATTTATTGTAATTTCAAATTAAATTTTCTTTAAAAAAATTTCATTTAAAATTCAAATGAAAAATTTGAATTTTTACTCAAATATATTTCCTTATTAAAAAATTCCAAGCAAGATTATTTGCCGCAAAAATAATCTCTAATTACAGTAATTTCCACTTGACTAAATTCAAAATCCATACAATTGAAAATAATTTTCTAATCTCCGCTTGAGCGGTCACAAAAGAAACTCTTTTAAAACCTCAAAAACCCAAACAATAATTGAAAAAAGATTTTCTGCATGGTTGAATTTTTACTTTATTGAATGAGTGCGTGGAATATAATAAGGAAATTTACGATTGGTCGGCCGTAAAGACGAGCCTCCGACATAAAAATGTCGAATGGAACTAACGTAGGTCAGTTTATTTATGCGCTCAGCTTATTTCTCAAACGAAACTCATCGGTTTATTATTATTATATTACACTATATTTAATTAAACTAAATTACACTCCTAAAAAACTTGAAGTAAATTATGGTAATTATCGAGCGAGAGTTAGAAAAAAACGCTATCAAAATATTCAAAGAAAGGTAGTAGAAATAAAAGTTGTCCAGCCGGTTTGTGCATATTTTAAACAAAGTGCATTGCTACGTCAGCAATTTAAATCCTAATTTATAAAATTAAGGATAAGGATAAATTTAACCGCAAGCAGCTGAAATAATCCATCATTATTTTCGGTCAAACAAATATTTTACTTACATTAGATGTAAACTAAACTTTCTAATAAATTAAACTACACCATTTGAAATAAATCATCGCCCAGTTATCAAAACAAAGGGATTTGCATTAATTCAAATGAAAAACAGCAGGATGTTCTTAACATTTCATTGTCTAGACTAAAGAGACTGTAACGCCCACTTACACCGTTATACTATACCTCACAATTTATAATATAACAAAACTTTTAACTTTTATGTAGTTAATTTGATATGATACTTGATACAATAATTCAGATTTAAATTTAAAATCATCCAGTTTACTCCAATTTTTTTAAAATTAATAAAAAGACCTTCAACCAAACCATCAATTATCAAACCAGTAATCTTTGAATTATCATTATATCACTCAATTATTTAATGTGATAAAACCCGGTGTTAAACAAATACCGCC